GGGGGGCGGGCCCCCCTGGCCCCTCCCCTAGATCCGCCACTGCATTGTTCATAGGTTCGAATTTTAAGACAATTAATTTTAATGGAATATTCCCGTAATAAACACTGTAGTTTCTGACCCATGTTACCTACCCGTCAAGATAGATTCCAAACCAGAGAAAAACCGTCTAGTTATACTGAAAAATTGTTTCTCCATTTATCGGTCAGATCAGACTCGAGGGTACAATCTCAAATGGACAATAAATGCCCGGAAACCAGAAATTGTTACAGAATTTCGATGATTCTTTTAGATCTTTCGGAAGTTTGCCATATTTGTTCAGCATATAGAATTTGGTCCCAATAGCGATTCTTGTTGTTTTGGTTTGTTTTGTTTTGTTGATTATATTTTGTTTTGTTCTGGTTTGAATCTTTTTTCTAAGAATTTTCCATAATAACGCATGGTTTCGGTACCTATGGTCAAACACACGGGTAGGGTCTCAAAAAAGACTAATACCCGCCAGTCAACACTGATTCAGAATTTTGAGAAAAAGTTCAGACTTTAAAGAGCCGTTTATCTTTATCTCGAGATTGGCATTTGTAATTAAACATAAAATACTCTCAGGAAACTGAAGTTTTTCCGTCCAATTTCTGCAACGATTTCTGACGGCAGGGCACTTTGAGATCGTGCCGGTGTGTCTGAGCGAAATGCTGTCAGGCAATTTCTCAGTATGTTAAATCTCAGAATTTTTGTCCACAGCAAATTAAAGCCAAAACAATTCTAGCAGTCGTTTAGCATTTCTAAATATAAATATAATATGAATCAGTCTTAGTCAGTCTTTCGGTCGAAATCCTGTAATAGTTTCTGAGTGTTAATTAGTCTAGCCATAATTTTTTTAAGTGTTGAGATTATGGCGATTTTATAGAATATATGCTCAGGTTCGAGAAATAGGCCATTTTCGATATATTAAAATGCTAACGGAGAGAAAAAAAAAACAAGAAATCGCATCGTGTTCGAGGAATCAATATTTTTTTGTTGTTGCTTTTTGTTTTATTCCCCCAAGCCTCGAAGGAAAGACAGAATTTTAATTATTATATCAAAACTGGCCTATTAGTTTACCAGAAAAAAATCTTATTTTTGAGATCAGTTGCCATTTTCAAAGAAACAATCTAAAGAATACTCTCGAGAGGTTTTTATCAGGCTTTCTGATTAAAATCTTTGAAAATCAGACTTATGTACATTTTGTCAATTTAATATCTTTCTCAGTTTGCGCGGGACATATATAGTTATATATAGTGCGATTTTAGCCGAAAGATTTCACTGCGCTGCGTCAGGCCTTTAATGCTTAGAAAGTGATTTTGAGCATTGACCAAGGCCCAGTAGTAAGCTCTTAGAGCTTCTTGTTTCTTCAAACAATGAGTAAAATTAATTTATTCAAAAATCGCCACACGCATGACACCTCCTCACCTTCATCTCGTCCGGTTTCAAGTAAGAGTCGCCGAGGTTATGGATTACGAAAGCGTTTGCGTTGAACGTACGTAGAATTAGACTGTTTGAGAAATTCACAAACTACGAAGGAACAAGAAGACCCTTTGCTTGGTGTGGAAAATGTTGTTTTTAAAGGCAAGCTTGAGGTAAGAGCTCGTACGTTAGCAAACGAATGGCGTTAAAAGTTTCGGCAACGCCAAAGTTTATGTCTATGGACCTCGACTCCGTCTCGGTCCATAAACACGCAAAAAAAAAAGAACTTGTTTTTGCTTGGCCAATATCCAGCCAACTTGTCCTCACACTTGGTCAGTAACCCATGTATACTGGACAAAAAAAGATGGCGGCTGTACATTTTACCACAATGCCTTGCGAACTGAAATAATAGATAAGTCGTATTTTGCAAAATTTGTCCCATTGCACATCCTAAACTATCCACAATCAATTTATCTGAGTTATGTAACAGGCAATATTCAAGCTCATCAGTGGTTCCTATCAGGCTGGAATAGAAAGTTATTTATTTATTAAAGCATTAACGATAGATGTTAATTCCCACTGTTAAAAAATACTGCAAGTTCAAATCAGCCAAAACAGTCAACAATGTCAATCTTCCTAATAATGCTTTTTTATTATACATTGTAGTCACCATCTGTCATCTCATTGGCTAAAAGCCTACAGTTAATTCTGGGAAACAGTGCAACCTACAGATTATTCACTAATCTGCTGGCAGATTAGTGAATAATTAATCTGTAGGTTAATGCATTCGCAATGCATGATTTCCAAGCACAATGTCAAGTTCACGGACAGCGAAGTAAGAACATGGCTTGTCGAAAATTAACTGTGTTTGGTGCGATATCGCATTTGTCGTTATTTTTTAAAAAACAATGTATAATAAAACAATTATTAGATTCGGTTAATGTTATCAGCCTCAGCCCTCGGCTTCGACTTACCTCGACCTTGATTATTCCAGATATCATGAAAACCTCATCCAATAATTGTTTAAAATGCCCTGCTTATCAAGGTCATGATTATGTGTTAAAAGCCCCATTGATCCCTGCATTGTCCCAGGGCTGCATTGGGACGGGTGGGGATTTACATTTACTGCTGCATAATGGGTAGATGTATCATCAACCATCTTTTTGGATACAGTCAGGATCGCAAGTTAATGATTATGTGTTTTGTTTTAAAATTATGATTCAATAGTAAGCTAGGCTTGATTTCTGCAGCTCTCTGAAATCTCATTTCCAAAGGTGACTTCACCAACACATGAGTGATTCCAGAAAATATCCATACCTATAACACAGATAGCATTTTGCAATTCCAAGGGAAATGGGGGGAGGGGTTTTTGAACTGGAACCCAAAAGCCATGAGAGATCTCAGTGAACTGAGATTTAATTTTTGTTACCCAATGGATACCTTGTGATGCAGTCTAATAGGTGGCAATTAATTCTAAGTATATTCTGATAATGTAAGAGTTGATATTCTGAATTTTGGATTACAAGAATTTCAGCAGTTACTGACTGCAGCTGCAATCCATCCCAATTTTCTTCATTTCATTTTCTATGTTTTCTTGGATTTCCAATATGACAGTCCAGCAACAATGCAGTAGATTTATAAAAAATGCTTCTTTCAACAGTTTGTGGATGATTCAAGGTGATGGAA